AAGGAGTGTGTCAAAGGTCTGGAAAAATCAGACAGGTCTGATATTCTCTTGAAGTATGGATTCGGGCAGTCAGAAGGATCTGAAAGTTTCCTGTCCCATATTTGTTCATCTCTCTCCTTCCTCTAGTTATTTCTTGTGATTATATGAATGTAATACTAATTACTGTTTATGGTTAATTTTCATGATACTGTAATAAATAGCAAAGTGAAGTTAAATTCTGGTGTAAGTTTTACTTTAATTAAAATAACACTGTATTTTACTCAAGTGTTTAGTATTTCTTATTTGGTTTATATGGCAGATTTACTTTACTAATTAAAACAACAACAATAACAACCAGAGATAGCATTAGAAATGCCCAATAAATACTGGTTGTATAAATTAATAAACTCTGTGTGTACTTGAAGTGCCACATATCAAATGTTCTAACATTCACTGAGCACACCTACTGTATATGTATCAGGGATTATCTTTGTTTTATTTGGGRTAAGAGTGCAAATGAAAATCCTCACTACTTACTCCCAACAAGGATTCTTTGAATTCTCCCTAGCTATATAATCAAGTGGGGATTCATTCTCCTTTTTCAATCTCTTACRTTACAAATTTACAATTTCTGATCATTCTTTAATTATTATCCATTAGTCTTTAAAGTTTCATCCGCACAAGTTATATCTTTGCTTTAGAAAACAAGATCACCATTTGGAAACACTGCTTCAAAATGAGAATATACAGTATCAAGTAAATGCCATCAAATGATATCTCTTCCCTGGATGTCCTTATATGGAAGGAGTGTTTAAGAACAATAATGCTTTAGAAGTTCAGAAAAAAACAGTGATAACAGCTCAGATTCAGAATGGCTGCTAAACCAGGGCATTTTAACACTTAAAACAAAAACGAAACAAAAAAAGAGGAAGGGATTATTTTAAAATAATGATACTTCCAACTTAATATATCTTTAATCTGATGAAAAATGATTCTCAGGATATATTTATAAGGTTCACTACAAAGAGTCATGTTCATCTTTTTTCACTGATATTCAGAAAGTCACATAAATACTTTGAAAGCCACAGACAGTATGTGTTTATACATATTACATCCAAATATATATATATACTCTTCTAAATCAGAAAAACATATACACACTTAGAGACATTTTTATTGCTCTCAACCTTTTACTGTCTTTTAAAATCTTGTTTTCTAGAATCCTTTTTTCTATTTCATCACCTGACTTCTTAATTTTTAGATATTCTTGTCTCTCTACCTTAAAACATTCAGTCTGCCTGGGTCTACCTGTTGCCCTGTGGCTGCCCCAATCCTATTTTAACTCTTTTTTAGTTCTCCTGAATTCCTAAATCACTGCTTTTTTCTGTCTATAATCAGTCTGCCCCCATTCCCTCTTATTTCCCTACAAAACTATCATTCTCTCACATAACCCAGCTTTTTAAAATGGGAGATGAGTAGATTCTTCAAATTAAATCATTCTAATGTAAATGGTTATGGGCAAATATTACATTTTAAAATACCAAAATAAAATAATACTCATTATTTTTAAAAACTTCTATAAATATTAGACATGTATGGATAGTTTGAGCTAATTTAGACTTCTTGAAATTAAGCTTTTTCTTTATTTTAAAAAGCACTTATCAAGTCCTGGTCCATTATATTGCAATAATCTTAGGACAACAATGAGATACCACTTCACATTCACCAGGATGGCTATTTAAAAAGAAAGGAACTAGGAAGGATGGACGGAAGGTAGGTAGGAAGGTGACAAGTGTTGGCAAGATGTGAAAAAATTAGAACTCATGTACACTATTAGTAGAAATGTAAAACGTGCAGCCTTAGAAAAATAATTTGGTGGTTCCTCAAAAAGTTAAACAGAATTATCATGTGATTTAGTAGTACCCAAAGAATGAAAAACAAATATTCAAACAAATATTTGTACATGAATGTTCACAGCAGCACTCCTCACAATAGCCAATCCAAATGTTTGTAAGTCAAGAATGAATAAGCAAAATGTGACGTATCTGCATGATGGAATATTAATCAGCCACAAAAAGGAACGAAGCACTAATATATACTATGTGGATGAACTCTGAAAACAACAAGTAAAAGAAGGCAGATATAAAAAACCTATATTTTATGACTCCACTTAGATAAAATATCCAAAATAGGAAGACTCATAGAGACAGAAAACAAATTGTTCCTAGGGGATGGGAGAGGGGTTAATGGGGAGTGACCATTTAACAGGGGCAGGGTTTTCTTTAGATGCAATGAAAGTGTTCTGGAACCCGATAAAGCTGGTAGTTGCACAATATTGTGGATGTATTAAATAACACTGAGTTGTTTACTTCTTAAAAAAAAAATTCTTAACTTTACATGAAATTTATTTCAGCTTTTAAAAAAGCTTAAGAAACTCATAGAATTTGTTTTAAAAATTTTATTTTCTTTAGTAATAATAAAAAAATTTAGTGAATAAAGAATCAAATGTAATTGCTTAAAAAATGGCACACATAAACTGTGGAACTTAACTCTGGATTTTTAAATCTGATCAAGAAAGAAGTTTAAGTAGTATCTCATTTTTGATACACATGAACAAACATAATGAAGTACCATATGAATACAAGGAGAATTATTCCCACAAATCTATTTACCATAAATATCATGTAGTATTTGAGGTTTTACCAAGTTATTCACCTGACAAGGGGCTTTCTTGATTATCAAGAGTACATATATATTTGGATGTAATCTGTATAAACACGTACTGTCTGTGGCTTTCAAAGTATTTTACATGACTTTCTGAATATCAGTGAAAAAAAAATTTACATGAGTCTTTGTAGTGAACCTTATAAATATATCCTGAGAATAATTTTTCTAATAACTAATCTTTGGAAAGACTAGTACTTTCCAAAGTACTCTTTGGAAGCACAGTGTGAAAAAACCTCAACCAATATGGGTTTGTGAAATTTTAAGGTCGCTTGACAAAAATGATCATAAAAAGAAGGAATTTAACAAGTTCCTAAGGTTGATACTCCACAGCTGCAAGTGCAGATGTCATTCTATCCAAGCCTTTAGAGATCACTTTGAAAAGCAATCCAGAACAGTTATATTGTGTAGATAATAAACATATACCTATAGAACAAAATAAAACCTGCAAATGGGTACTCAGAYTTTCCAATGGTGTCCTTCTATAGACTTAAAAAATGCTTCATATAAAAAAGTTCAGGTGACTTAACCCAAGAAATTAGACGGTTCAAAAAATAGTTCTATTTGATTACAAATACACAGATGTAAAAGACATGTAAAAAAATCTGAATGAAATTGTTTTATAAAAGTTGAGATGTTAAAAAAAGCAAAATTCCTTATGTAATATATGACTTTAATATATTCAAGTTATCAAATCTGTTTGGGATTTTTGGAAATGAGAGATTATCTTGGATTCAAGAATWATCAAGCCAGGCATAGTGGATGCTCTGGTAATCCCAGTGATTCAAGAGGCTGAGGCAGAAGGATTGTATGTTTGAGGCCAGCCTCAGCAACTTAGGGAGGCCCTAAGCACATCAGCAAGACCCTGTCTCAAAAAATAAAAAGGACTGAGAATGTGGCTCAGTGGTTAAGTACCCCTGGGTTTAGTCCTTGGTACAAAAAAAAAAAAAAGAAAGAAAAGATTTATCATTTATCAATATATGTGTTAGAAAAGAAATTTTGAAAAGAACTATATTATAAATATTAAAAGGTAGCTCCCATTTACTAATATTCTTCTTAAAACAGATAATTAGGACCCTAAATTCCAAACGGTTTCTGATCAGCTTACATTCTTTTTTTTTTTTAAAGTTAAGACTGTATCAGCATTGCTAGTGTTACAAAATATTGATAGTTTACGTTTACAGTGTGCTTTACTATCTACTGGAATCTTCAATATCTACCACTTACGCCACACAACCTTCCACATTCAATTTTAGAAAAGTTTAGATATGTGGAAAACACATTCACCTTCGAATAAAGGAAGTTTCTCATTCGTGGTCACACAAAGTTCTCTATGTCCATTCTATATTTTTTTTAGCCTAAGCTTACTGCTCAGTAATCAAGATACATATCACCCATTTCTCGTTTTATCTCCCTGGAATAAAAAACTTTATGCTCAGTTTAAGAAGAAAATCACATTAGCAGAAGCAATGTGACTGAATGAATGAATTAATGAATGACTTGGGGGTCTTAATCAGAGAGAAAGAAAAAGTGAACATAAAAATGTAGAAATGATGAAGAAATGACTATCCCTAAGTTTTTTAGAAATGAATGCACAAACTCAGTTTTCCTTTCAATGTTTTCTTGGCAGCAGTAGTGGGTACCAAGATGGAAATTTCTCTATCTCTCTCATATAAGTTCTTAGGGGTTACAGGACTCCAATTCTCCCCTTGCTTATAAAATAATCCATTTATAAAAATACAGCCACCAGGGGGCTGGGCATGTAGCTCAAGCGGTAGCSCGCTCGCCTGGCATGCGTGCGGCCCGGGTTCGATCCTCAGCACCACATACCAACAAAGATGTTGTGTCTGCCGAGAACTAAAAAATAAATATTAAAAATTCTCTCTCTCTCTCTCTCTCT